TGGTCTCCATTTTCTCATCAAAATCCGATCATTGTAGTAGTACCCAGTTGCTGCGTCTACAATTTCCTCCATAGAGACAGCTGTCTCATGACAATCTGCAAGAGTGGGGTCAGCTTTCTGTAACTCACTCAAGGAGGCATCTAGGCCTTGGTCAGATGCCATTGGCCGAGGCTCAACAGTGTTCTCCTCCACCTCCCCACTACTCTCTGTAGATGGCGGTGGCAGGCTCTCCACAATGTCCTCGGCCACGTCATCGAGTCGGGCCATGAATGTGTCCGCGAGGTCCACTTGGCTTTCACCACTCGGAAAGCTCCTCGTGACCTTGGGATTTACCACCTTGGCAAGCACAGGGCTGCCCTTACATTTAAGTCCCATAGACCTGGTCACCGCGCACGCAGGGTACACAACATTATCCTCTGCGGCGGGTGGATCCAGGCAAACCTTAGGGGTAGGCAACATAATAGGCAGTCTGGAGTCCCCTGCTAAATCATTACCAACTATTACATCAACATTAGGGAAAGGTAGGTATGAAGTGACTCCGACTGTACAAACACCCTTGTGGAAATCAGATTCCAGGGTAACCTTATGGAGGGGTACCGCTCGAGTATCACTAGTGACACCCTCGACCAGTACCACCTCTCCAGTGTCGAGAGTGTTGGCACCTTGCAACGCACTCTCTAAAATTAAAGTCTGGATGGCACCGGTGTCTCGGAAGATCACCACTTCCTTCCAGGAAGAACCCTCAGACAAAAGTAGTCTCCCTTTCGATAAGAATGGGGTAAGCAAGTCCAACCACTGTGGGTTGGGGGTCTTACTCCCTAACCCTTCCGAAGGCCTCAAGCCCTGTGTCACAACTAGAGCATTGGGTCTTTTTTCAGGGTACAGTTGCCAACAACGACTAATAGTGTGGTTTGGACGATTACAGTGACCACAAAAACGTCGGGGAGAAGAGACATTACTAACAGAATTACCCTTCGGTTCACCCTTAGGTGCCGTGGGGCTAGACACTTTAACAGGGTTAGTTATGTCTGAAACAGAAGGTGCATTAGGTAAAGGGTTAGAATGAGCTGGTCTGGACTGGCTGTAGGTATAAGTTTTGCTACTCTGTGGGGTATAATTATTTTTATTGGGCCTTTTGCCCGCCAATTGGTAGTTTTCTGCCAACTTGGCCAAATCCCCTATTTTAGAATTTATCTCTATCCTTCCTTTAATGTACTGTGAAACATTCTCTGGCATAATATCTATAAAATGCTCCATTAAAATTAAGTTCCTGAGAGCCTCGTATGTTTCGGCTTTCGCCGAGCGAATCCATCTATCAAACAATCGAATTTGATCATTCACAAATTCAGTGAGCGGTTGGTTGTGAGTAGGCCTAAGGTTACGATAAACTTGGCGGTGAGCTTCAGGAGTAATTTCATATGCCCGCAAAATACATTCCCTGACTTTATCATATTCGAAACACTCGTCGTCAGGCATGTTTATAAAAATATCTTGTGCTTTACCCCTAAGTCTTCCCTGTAGGATTTTCACCCACTCTTCCTTTGGCCAGTTCATGGACATGGCCAATCTCTGAAAATGGTTGAAAAACCTTTCAGGGTCTGACTCGGAAAATTCAGGCAAATTATGCTTTTTCTCATAATGCCTGGGGTTTGAATCCCCGGCAGGTGGAGGTCCAGTGGCATTTACTCTAATTTTAGCCTCCTTGGTTTTGAGTCTTTGCTCCTCTAATTTTATTTTTGCTAACTCTAAAGCTAATTCTCTATCCCTATGAGTTGCACTTTCTGCTTGGCTAGGCTGGCATAAAGGTGTATCACTTGCCAATAGTTCTTCATCAATACAATGTTGTAATATTTCATTCACCAAAGTCCACTTTTTATCCGCATCATTTAATTTTTTTTTTTTTTTTTTTTTTGAAGATATATACAAGAGTTGTTACATTCTTGTACAGCCACTAGTACGCGTAGCGTTTTGGGCAGGTCCCTGGAATACGATCCCCTGCCGCGAAGAATCGTTTTTTCATCCAAGTACACATTTTACTGTTGCGTTAAACAGAGGCTACAGTTAAGGAATTGCGCCCAGTAAATCCTCCCCGGCCAGGATACGAACCCATGACATAGCGCTCGCGGAACGCCAGGCGAGTGTCTTACCACTACACCACTAGGCCAAATTCCTGGCTTAACAATACTAAATTAGACTTTTTAAGTTTCTTTATCTCTACCACTGAAGGCTCCCTTGCCAGTCTTTTCATTTCAGAAGACATCACTAATAATTTTAGCTCCCAGCCAAAGAAAAAATTAAAAAATAAAAATTGGAAAAAAAACAAAAATTTGCACGGCCCCTAACACAAGGCCACACTAACCTTAATCGTGAAGGGATCCAGCTGGGTGTCCAGTCAGTGCAAGAATGTCCTTTGCTAGATGAGCTGGACCCTAGGCTAGCACACAACCGTTCTGCGGAAAACAAAAAATTTTAATTTTGGCACTCAAGATTCTAATTTTTTACACTTATAATGTTCATCCCGGACAGGCCCCCACTTGTTACAAATATAGATGTGTGGCTTCTATGGGGTACTGGTACTATTAAGGGGTAAGGGTAGTTAGAAGACAAGAGTATCAAATATGGGAGAGCTAAAAGGCCCGGCCCCCAAAATAAACTATCCACAGTAGTAATAACTTGCTACTAGACCATATATGTTAGTCTAAGGGTTGATCAATGCACTCCCACATAGGAAAAAGGGATACTCTGTAAATCATGTACTTATTTATTAACCCCTTAACAACCCCCCATATACACTCACACCAATAACAATAATAATAATAACTTTACCACACTATCTTACGTTAAAAGCCTTGGTCCACGTAGGCAGGATACAAGGTTTACACTAAACAAGCTAGGGTAAAGTACTACTGGATAAGCACTGAAGCTGGATGCAGCTTAGGGTAGCGAGACCATGTGGTACCCTAATACAAAACACAACACTTAGGGGTACCCAAAACACTGGCAAATACTAACCCCAGGTCTCACCAATATTTACTACCAGAGTAGGCACACTTAACACCATATAATACTTAACTTAAGGGTACAGGAACTTCAGGTAAGGGAAATAAGTAAGAGGAGAAGGGAGAAGAGTAGGGGTGCAGCCACAGAGTAGGTCTTATCCGCACGAACACCAGCCAGAGAAGAGAGAGCTCCTAGCGACCAGCTGGCCTCCCTCATGTCGTGGTGCCGGAAGGAGCCTAATTGATCGTGCAGCTAAGCACATTGAAGATCTTCCCCTATGCAACGTATTGTTACTTTATGAATGATTAGAAAGTATTAGTAAGCAAAGTTGGTGCCTATGTTATTATTTAATAATCAACCCCCAGTTCAGTCTTTAAATGCTCTTTGAGAAACAATAATAGTCTTACGTCTGGCAGGGAAAATACAAACAATTGCTGTTCGAGTTGCACTCAACTTGTACTACTAGAAAGTTTAATACCTCAATTTTGACCTCTGGTTTCCACTGGAGAACCCAGGGTCGTAACAGCCGCTCACATTATCAAGTTTCGGCGTCGCCATGAGATCATGGAGGACAACATTTATGATATCAACCGCCTTCGGGCCACACCCGATATGATGGCTGCTATATCGTTTGAGGTGGACCTGTCCCAACAGGGCCCCGGGCCCTCAGGTCATGGGGGCAGGTAGTCGTTCATCATCCTCGTCCAGCAAAACGGGTACCCGCTATTCCTCTAGGGGTGCCGCCAGTGGCGGACGGCGTGGACGCCGGGTTCAGTCACCAGCCTACTCCAGGGCTAGCGGCTCGCAAGGTACTCAGCAGGGGAGTCCCCCCCCCACCATCGATCAGCTCGATCAAGGAGACGGCCAGCTCGACACTCGTCACACAGCTCTCGGACTTCCGATTCGGATGCCTATCCCGCAGCAGGCGGACAGGTTATCGCCAACAGAAAGAGACCTTCCGTACACCACCGTTGGATTGGATTATGACGGGAAGTCAGATTGGGCCACCTTCTACCGCCGTTTCACGTCTTATGCCTCGGAAAAGGACTGGAGTGGGCCTACGTTATTGACACAGTTAGGGTGGTGCCTCAAGGGTAAGGTGAGTGATTTTTACAATCACTTACTGGACAGAGAACCGTCGATCGATTATAATCGCATGATGCATAAGATGATCAAGCTATTTGGCGATAGGGAAGTTCTGGATGTAGCCATGATGAAGTTTAACCAGGCTCAGCAGGAACCAGAAGAGGATATCGCTGATTGGGCAGATAGGGCCCACCACTTGGCTCATCGGGCCTACAAACACGTTCCACGATGGGAAGTGGAACAAATCGCAGTAATGAGATTTGGCCAGGGATTACAGGACAAGAGTCTGGCGGAATACATTGCCAATGCAAGGAATTCGTCAATGGAGGAGGCTATTGACCGGGCCCAAGCCTTCCAGCACAATGCCATAGCAATCCACGACTCCGCAGGTTCAAGCAGGCACGACTACCATCGCCGTGGGTCCCAGGGGCCAGCAGTAAGAGTGAATGCAGTGGGCAGGTACTCCCGGTATGAGCAGCCACCCAGGAGTAAAGACTCTTCTCGGCGCTCGACACCGGGCACCTCACCAGCTACCAGCCCCGCAGGCTGTGGAACCGGCACTCACTACCCGTCGAGTGCAGGCTTGTGCCATTCATCTTCCATGGACACGGAGGTGAAACTGGACGTCTTGGTAGCAGGTTTCTCAGAACTCAGCTGGAGATTGGACCAGGTGTGTGAGGGTTTGAGGCGTCTCACGACGGCTATCCTATTGCCGCATAATCGTCGTACCCCATCCCCCAGGTGACTGATGCAGTGTTTCAGATGTAGGAAAGAGGGTCACATGGCTCGGGATTGCCCGGAACCCGGAAGTGACGGGGAGGAAAGCCGCCGGCTCAGGGACCCCCTGGGCAACAAGCTGCGCGTTTCATTCGAGGACGAGAAAGAGTCTTTAAACGCTGCCGGGTCCCGACCCAATGTTCAACAGGCCTAGAAAGGGAGAACACGATAGTTGCGGGCCAAGGGACGTCGGACACGGAAGAGCAGGACGGGGGAAGAGATCAAATAACCATCAGACAGCTCAGATCCGGCTCTATGTTTTGGATCCCAGTCCAGATCGGGGACGTGAAGGTCAAGGCGATTGTGGATACAGCGGCCGAGGTCACCATTATCTCCCAGGAGATCCATCAACAGCTGAACCCACCACCCCAGGTGATACAACACATAACCTTAAGCACAGCGGGGAAACGTATGCACCTTACGGGAACACTGGTGGGCCCCATCCCCTTGCTGGTTCGGGACGGGAATACACTGTGGGAGTGTATGTGGCGCCCATTGCAGACAACATATTGCTAGGGCTCAATTTCATGAAAAGATACGGTGCCAGTATAGTCCTGGACAAGTCCCAAATGATATTACAGGGACAGGTGATTCCCATGCAGTTAGAGAAGAAAGAGGAGCCTAACCCTAACCTAGCTCCGTGCATCGCTAAAGTAGCGGTGTCCCAATACACTGTTATCCCACCACATTCAGTGGCCAGGGTCAAATGTGAACTGGATAAAAGCATGCCCCAGTGTATAGTGGAGCCCCTGGAGGATGGGCAGGTGCCAGTGGTTCGCACACTCCATCAGGAGGGAGGAACCCTGAAGGTATGTGTACTCAATGTAACAGGACAGAATATTACATTAAAGAGGCGGATGCATGTGGCCAATGCAGAGGCAGTATGGGAAATTCTACCGGGGCCGGGTCCAGCGGTAGTAGCAAGGGCAGTGGGGAGGGTACCAAGTGAAACTCAAGTCAAACTACCTCCTCATATGATGACCATGGTACAGGACGTCGAAGAAACGCTGACATCAGAACAGGCAAGCCAACTGACGCACCTGTTATGGAACTTCCAGGACATCTTTGCCGCAAGTGAATTTGACCTGGGATCGTTCAAGGAGGTATCTCACCGTATCGACTCGGGTAATGCAAGACCCGTGAAGCAAAAAATACGACGAACACCCGCATGCTTCGCACAGGAGGAGAAAGGACACCTTCAGCGCATGCTCGACATCCAACTGTCAGTATTTGAGTGGGCATCGACACCAGTTCAGGTAAGGAAATGCGATGCGTCAGTTCGGTGGTGTGTAGACTATCGAGAGTTGAACTCTCGCACCATAAAGGACGTGTACCCACTCCTCCTAGTCGATGAGTGCCTGGACGCCTTGGCAGGAAACGAATGGTTTAGCAAGCTAGATGCCAACTCGGCCTATTATCAGATCAACATAGCAGAAGAAGACCGGAAGAAGACGGCATTCATCACAAAGTATGGACTGTTTGAATTTAGGAAAATGGCCTTTGGTCTCTGTAATGCTCCGGCTACCTACGCCAGGGTCATGAACTTGGTGTTGCGGGAGCTAAATTGGGAAACTGCTAGCATTCTTGGATGACATCCTACTGCTGGCCGATTCATTCCAAAGCCACCTCTCCAACCTAGCGCAGGTATTTGAGAGATTCAGGACCTATGGTTAACGCCTGAAACCACAAAAATGTGCCCTCTTTAAGAAGCGGGTTGAGTTCCTAGGCAGAATGGTTTGCAGGGCGGGACTAGAACTGAGAAAAGAGGCGATAGACACAGTGGTGAAATGGCAAAAGCCTGGGTCATCCAAAGACGTGGAAAGATTTCTGGGACTGGCCAACTACCATCGGGCCTTCATAAAGGGATTCGCAGAGTTAGCCGCACCCCTATAAGCACTGACCGGCGGAAACAGATTCGAATGGGGAGACAAGCATCAGGAGGCCTTTGCAGCTATCAAAATGGCCTTAACTCCAGCTCCGATGCTGGGATTACGTAATGGACATGACCCCTTCATCCTGGACACCGATGCCTCCGACTGGGCGATAGGAGCGGAGCTGCTACAGGTTCAAGATAAGAAAGAAAAGGTAATTGCTTATGCCAGCTTCGCATTGACCCCAGAACAGAGAAGGTATTGCACCACGAGGAAAGAGTTATTGGCAGTAGTCAGGTTTATCAGGCTTTTCCGGCACTGTCTCTTGGGGCGGCCTTTTACCATTCGCACTGACCACGGCAGCTTGGTCTGGCTGGATAGGTTTAAGAACCCCCAGGGCCAACTAGCACGTTGGCTGGAGGAGCTGAGCCAATTTGATCTAAAAATCCAACATAGAGCAGGTAAAAAACACAACAATGCAGACTCTTTATCCAGGGAAGGAGGCGCTCAACAGGCATGTACCCACTTTCGCCAGGACGTGTAAGTGCAGGTCCTGCCGTGTGGAGGATGTCCATATTGTCGCAGGGCACATCAGAACTGGGCGACCTTCCAGGAGACGGTAGATGACGTCGTCCCACTGGCTACGGGGTCGTTCAGATGTGCATGTAATGTTCAGATCCGGGGGACGATTAGACAAGTGAGTACTATAGCCCCTATTCAAGACTGGTGGTCGGAGTATTCCAACTTGGCTGTCTTCCCATGGGACCCTGGTGACGATGGCCGAAGGAAGCCTGCGGAGTCTCGGGATAAGGAGGAAGATGCAGTGGCCCCAGAAGTAGTAAGCATTAGGATCATCACCAGAATAAAGGCGGACAGACTAGGATTGCATTTACTCGAGTTACAGGAGCAGACGGAGAGAGACCCGGACATGAGAATGGTAAGAGAATGGGTGGGAGGCCGTCAGCCAGAAGAAGGTGACCTGTTCAGAGCTAGTCCCGCAACAAAATACTACTGGTTAAACAAAGAGGCATTTCTCATGGAAAATGGGCTTTGGTGGTGGCACAAAGTAGATCAGGGGGGAGCCGCCCAGAAGCTTTTGTATATACCCACCAGCCTGAGGCAAGAGGTACTGAATCTGTGCCATGATATACCTGATATGAGCCACCAGGGCCGAAATCGCACAATGGAGCGGGTCAGATCAAGGTACTTCTGGTATGGGCTATCAACGGACGTTGCAAACTATGTGGCATCATGCCACTACTGTAGTATGAACAAAAAAGCATTCAAGACCAGCAGGCACGAGCTGCTTAAGTACCATGCGGGTGCACCAATGGAAAGGGTACACTTGGACATTTTGGGACCATTGCCTAAGACTCTGAAAGGCAACGAATATCTTCTGGTGATGGTAGATCAGTTCACTAAATGGATTGAGTGTGTGTGTTATAAATATTTGTGTGGGGGGCTTCTATGGGGTACTGGTACTATTAAGGGGTAAGGGTAGTTAGAAGACAAGAGTATCAAATATGGGAGAGCTAAAAGGCCCGGCCCCCAAAATAAACTATCCACTGTAGTAATAACTTGCTACTAGACCATATATGTTAGTCTAAGGGTTGATCAATGCGCTCCCACATAGGAAGAAGGGATACTCTGTAATTCATGTACTTATTTATTAACCCCTTAACAACCCCCCATATACATTCACACCAATAACAATAATAATAACTTTACCACACTATCTTACGTTAAAAGCCTTGGTCCACTTAGGCAGGATACAAGGTTTACACTAATAACAAGCTAGGGTAAAGTACTACTGGATAAGCACTGAAGCTGGATGCAGCTTAGGGTAGGGAAACCACGTGGGACCCTAATACAAAACACAACACTTAGGGGTACCCAAACACTGGCAAAATACTATCCCCAGGTCTCACCAATCGTTACTACCAGAGTAGGCACACTTAACACCATATAATACTTAACTTAAGGGTACAGGAACTTAGGGTAAGGGAAATAAGTAAGAGGAGAAGGGAGAAGAGTAGGGGTGCAGCCACAGAGTAGGTCTCGTCCGCACGAATACCAGCCAGAGAAGAGAGAGCTCCTAGCGACCAGCTGGCCTCCCTCATGTCGTGGTGCCGGAAGGAGCCTAATTGATCGTGCAGCTAAGCACATTAAAGATCTTCCCCTATGCAATGTATTGTTACTTTACAAATGATTAGAAAGTATTAGTAAGCAAAGTTGGTGCCTATGTTATTATTTAATAATCAACCCCCAGCTCAGTCTTTAAATGTTCTTTGAGAAACAACAATAGTCTTACGTCTGGCAGGGAAGATACAAACAATTGCCGCTAGTGATGCACCTAACTGTACTACCAGAAAGTTTAATACCTCAATTTTGACCTCTGGTTTCCACTGGAGAACCCAGGGTCGTAACAGTGTGCCACTACCGTCCCAGACGGCAGAGGACACCGCCCGAGCAGCACTCGATGGGTTCTTCACCAGGTTCGGGTATCCGTTTGAGATCTTCACTGACCAGGGCAGGAATTTTGAAAGTGACTTGTTTACGAAACTCTGTGAATTGATGCACATCCACAAGGCCCGTACTACCGCCTACAGGCCGTAGGCGAATGGGCAGGTGGTAAGGTATAACAGAACAATCATGGATGCATTGCGGTGTTATGCCTGTTCCCAACATGACAGCTGGGACACCTATATTCAACACATAGCAGGGGCCATCAGGTCTAGTGTGAACCGACAGACTGGCTTCACGCCCAGCAAGTTAATGCTCGGTTGGGAAACCAACCAGCCAATAGATTTAATCTACCCCGGAAGGTGCAACTTCAATCAGATGCAGTACCTTACTTAGCAAATTTGCAAAGGGAAATTGAGAAGGCGCATGGATTGGCACGGAAGTCTCTATCTACAAACCAGGAACGAATGAAGAGAGATTATGACCTACGGGCACGGCTACAGGTCTATGAGAAAAGGGACCTAGTTTACCTGCTAGACACGGCACAGGTGAAGGGGCAGTGCCGGAAGCTTTCACCACAGTGGAAGCGCCCATCCACAAGTTCTCATCTTGTTTATTCAGGGTCAAGCTCCAGAATGACAATATCACAGCAAATCACGATAAACTAAAGAAGTGCAAGGACCGTACATGCCCTAGCTGGATTGAGAAGTTTAAACGTCATATGTCTCAGGTTCAGGACCCAGTGGGAGTGACATACAAGGACCTTTACTGTGTGTGTCGGCAACCATACAATGGAAAGTTTATGGTGCAATGTGATATGTGCGCGGAGTGGTTCCATGGGGTCTGCGTGGGAGTGAATCTGGCGAGTGTATGGTCTAAACCAGAGTATGCATGTCCTGGTGTGAGCCATAAGGGCAAAAGAAAAAAAAACAAAAAAAGGAAAGGGAAAGATAGTGTAGTGTATGCAATGTTGAAACAGTTCGTGTATAGTGCAAAGATAATATGGGTAATAATTGTAATTGGCCCCATTCATGAAACCAGAAATGTTCTCCTTTGTGGCTTTGCTTGCAACTCCACCCCCTGGTGTGGAACTGGCAAAGATATTTTACAAAAAGACATGTTATATATAGTGAAACATTTCCCCTCTAGTATACCCATTGTTCTATAGGGACGGGAGGAGTGTGTAGGGAACCACATTCAAAGTGCCCACCAAAGGAGACATTTTATATTATAGGCAGGACTGTGCCCTGATTGGTGGACGGCGACGGCGCACAGCCTACCCACGCAGCAGCCCCGCGCAGGTCGGGAGAGCTAGATTTGAACTGCATGTGACCCAGCGCGGACGACGCCTACCCGACACCACCGGCACTTAGGATATGTGCCCATAGGATTCCTAAAGAGGCTTTGACTCCCTCTATCCTATCCTTCCTGAAAAGCCTAGACTTGCTTCACCTGCCCTACCAGACCTACCTCCCTCGACGACGACAGCTCAAGGTGAAATATTACTGTACTGTTGTTGTACCACGTGGGGTCTCCTCCACACTACGCACTTGCCAATATAGTGTGTAATTTATTAACAAAGATACGGTTATAAAGCCTAAAATATTATATGGCTCCAGAAAGACCGAGATATGCTCGTTATTGTGAGTGCACCAAAGGCAATATATCTTGTTGGAGGACCAAGATATATCATTTCGAAAATAAGTTTCGACTTTCGCCCGGGCGAGAGATAGCGCGACTCTCGCCACATCTATTGGAGATTCTGTTCACCTAATGACCCAAAGCTACTCAAAGCCTCCTAGCATTACTAAAGCAATGAAGAAATATGGTATATTTATTCACTATAATGTTGGTGCTTAATGCAGAACACGAGAAACATATATTTACTATGAAATAATATACTTTCATTATGAAATAAGTAAATACGTGGCCTCAAATGAAATTGTAACGTACGGTTATATTACGTTGTTGGGTTGATTAGATACACAGTGTTTAGTGAGTTTCATATTTATTTAGTAGTCCTGGATACAGCAGTGTCGTAGACGTTGAGACGAAGCCTGGACCAGAGCAGCGAGCTGAGTGAGGCCGGAGTCGTGGAGCTCTATGTGGGAGAGCGTGGCAGCTCGATTGAGAATTGTGAGTGTCTGAAATCGGGGAACGAGAGCGTTGTAGCTGGATGCGGTCGTAGTCTGCTGTGAACTACCCAAACTGAGAACTACATTCTTGACTGGAGATTGTACTGTTCGATATTCATCAAA